ATAGCCTCCAAGGAGAAACTTGGTTTCACCCTCTCCAAGCCAGACCTATATTTTTTCTTGGGGGTCCAGGATGTTCAAGACCCTTCTCCAGCACCACAATAGACAATAAAATTCAAAACAAATGGGGGGGGGGGAGAAGAGAAGTTCTCAAGGTCCCTTTATCTCAGGAGGCCCTTTATCACTTCTCAGGCTGAACAAACAGTCAAGTCCACTGCCAGCTCCACTCATAGTGATTCACTATCAGCTTCCCGAGGCTGAAATGAGGTTGTCCATCTTTCTTGCAAGGGAGTGGTGGGTGGATTCAAACCCCCAACCTTTCAGTTAGCAGCCTGATATGTAATGCAGCACAACATTCTTGCTCTTCATCAGGCTTAAAAGCTGGGTATATCCGGTACCTGGTCGGGTGACGTCAAGGAAACGTGTGAGGCCCCAGATCACCTGCCTCTCCAAGTTCTACTCAAAATGAACATCTAGTCCACGCGGGCAGACGAAGCCCTGCGGTGCAGGGGGTTAAGTGTTAAACCCACCCATCACTCCGCGTCTGTAAAGATCACAGACTTGTATCATAAGAGTTCGGAATGAGGGTTGCAGAGTGGATTATATTTGGGGTGGGGGCAGGGGGATTGTGTACCAATGAAGGAATTTTTCTTTTGCTTTTCAAGGAGAGGAGCAAATGTGTGTGTGTGTGGGGGGGGGAAGTGCAACAATGAATGAATGGAATTCCAAAATCTCTGTAGATGTTCATTGAAATAAAAAAACAATAAAATAAAAATTAAAATTAAAAAAAAAAAAAGATCACAGACTTGAAACTCGAAGGGGCAGCCCCACTCTGACCTACAGGGGCTGCTATGACTTGCCATTAACTCCACAGCAGTGGGTTCTGCATGGATTTGGCCAAGTGGTTGCATCAACACCGTAATTAATACCAAGGTCTTTTTCTCTGTGTAAACGGGCTCTCCAAGCACTCAACTCAAGTCTGCTCAATCGGTCCCCAGAATAAGTCCTCAGACTGAAAACTCGGCGGATGCTTCTGCTCCGCAGCTCACGCGCTGTCTGCTCTGCTCCACCCAGGGCAGGAAACGCTGCTCACACTCAAGTGCCCAACATCCAGCAAGCAGACACTTGGATGCAATGGAGTGTGCACAGAAAACACGGGTGAGGCAAGCAAATCAAGCAAATACGGTAACAAGGAAGACCTTGCTGGGGGAAGACTTCAAGCCAAGTTGAACTCAAAAAGGAACCGAGACACAGCAAGGAGTAAAAAAAAAAAGTGGAACATGGGCTCAGTAAAGAAGCCCTTTGCCTCACACAATCCACAGACCTCAAGCCTCACACCCAGGGGCCTCCGCCCCTTCCTAGCCATTCCCAGCACACGGAGATCTCACCCGGTCCACACTGAGAATCTACCCAAAACCCTAATCTCACAGTAACTATAAAGAAAAATGGCATTGGAGGACAAAAAGCCAGGAATATTTACGGAAGAGAAAAAAATACTTAAATAACTGATTGCAAAGTCGTTGGTTCTTCTCTAAATGTAAATGTGACTTACTCAATGTCTCTTTGACAATCCCAAGCACAAAAAAAGGAAATAATAAATTTCTACTTCTTACACTCAGTCCTTGTATGATAAAAGTTCACTTCAAGAAAACAAGAACGCACTTAAGAAATTACTCTGGTGGCCCAGTGGTGAGAAGATGCCGCTGCAATCCCAAAGGCATGAGGTTCGAATCCATCAGCTGCTCCGTGGGAGAAGGATGAACAAGCTCTTCCTGTGTGATTTACTGTCTCTGAAAACCCACCAGAGGGGCAGCTTTTATGGGTCTCGAGTCAGCAGCACACACCCACCATACGAACGGTGCTGCTGTTGTTGTCATAAAGACCACTGTGACCCATGGTGGCCCCACGTGTTACAACACGGGACTGCTCTGCAGGCTTCTCGTGGCTGTAATCTTCATGGAAGCAGAGTGCCAGGCCTTTCTCTCGTGGCACTGCTGGGTGGATTCCTACCTCTAACCTTTTGACTCATCAAGCTCTTAGCCACTGGTGCCATCCAGGGGACTCCACGATGAGAAGGAGAAACTACAAAGAAATCATTTAAGCTCTTGGAACTGAATTGTTACAAGAACTAGTTCTTTCATTCCCTGGAGAATGTGGCCTGGCAGAGCTCACTGAAACAGCTGGACCACTCTCCTCGGGGCTAGGCTGTGCTTAAGGGGACGATCATGTGTCTCAGCTCCCTTTTGCCAAAGACTTGTGCAGACACACCCCCTTCGAGACGGAGCACAGCCTGGCTCCTATGCTCAGCTGGAGCCGCTGACTCATCTCATTCACCAATTCGAGGATAAAAAGCATGACTAATAGGCCAGTGGGGTAACCCTCTCCCAGAACTGAGGGGGAGGTGAGCTGTGCCCAAATGGAAAATACTGAACCTCAGCAAGCTTGAAAAATTTTGCCACCAAATTCACGTCTCCTCTGGACCAGAAGCGAATCCTTTACACTGTCAAAGGGCTGTGCTCCGGGGGTCTTGTGCAAATCTCCGGGCCCTGCCAGTGAACACCAGGTGTGCAAGGTTCAGAAGACGCACAGAGGGACTGAACCCATCCCCGAGGACAGACAAGACGCCCCCCACTACAACTGCCACGTGAGCAGCGTGGTCACGTCTGGGACAGTCAGCCTTTGACCAGGACACCCAAGGAGTTCCTGACAAAAGCAGCGCTCAGATGCAGTGCTTACCGTGATACAGGAAAAGCATGACGATGTGTAAAACACACAGACAGGCTCTGACACAGCATGATGACCCTTGAGAAGGAAATCAAACACGACAGAGGGCAGCCTGAAGAAAATGTCATTTTATGTGGCTGTCGTGTGCCTTCCAGTAGGAACTGACTCATTGCTGAACCTGTGGCGGGAGCGTCAGCCTTTTTAGAGGCTCTAAATCGCATGAGAAGAGATCTGCCTCCCATGGAGCAGTTGGTGGATTTGAACTACCTGCCTTTGAGCTGGCAGCACAATGCCTTACCACTAGGCCACCGAAGCTCCTTGGATGCTCTCTATATGATGGCATTCATTCAGGAAATTAACTGGAAGAACTGACTTATTAATACTTGGTGGTTGTAAGAGGGTAGGAGTCCTGTGCTCCCTGAGTGTGGCTTATCCTGCGGGGGTACTGCCTGGCACTGCTCCCCAAACTCCATGGGACTCAGATGAACAGGAAGTGGGTGCTTGCAAAGACAGCATGCCAGGAACATTACCTGGGTCATATCTGTAACGTAAAAAAAGTGCCACTGACCACCAATTAAGCACAATGAAAAGACTAATGGCTATAACCAAAAGCGATCAAATCTCACCGCACAGCACGGTGAAGAGCCTGGACTGAAATTCTGGTGCCATTGTGCTAAGTCTTCTGTCTTCTCCGATTCAGAACAAATGGCCAGAGACTCGAGCCCACCAGCTGTTCTGTAGAAAAGACGCCTGGTAGTCTTCTGTCATAAAGATTTCAGTCTGAAAACTCCATGTGGCATCTCTACCCAGATCACTATAAAGGCGGCTGTTCCAATGACATCCAGCAAGATCAACAACGGCAAGCATGCAATGGGGGAAACAGTGGGGATTAACAACACAGGTACAGGAGCTCTGGTGGCCTAGTGGCAAGAAGTTGCACTGCAATCCCAGGGATACGGGATTTGAATCCACCAGATGCTCTGCTGGAGAAGGAGGGGCAATCTCCTTCTGTACCAGTCAGATCCGATTTGACGGTATACACAGAAAAATAATAAAATTTTAAAAAAGAAAGGCTTTCTCTCTGCAATCCCAGAGGCGCACAGTACAACAAAAAACAATACTGACCTCTAGGCAGAAGTTAGTCCTAGCCTTTAGCAGAATTACATAGGCTCTGCATGTATCATACAGGCTTCAACAGTGAAGGCTACGGTGCAGCAATTCTGTTGCTTAAAATGGGTTTCCCAGACCATTGTCTTTGACCTTGCCACATGGCCAGGCAGGAACATGTGGATAGAATGGACACATCCTGATATCCTACCAAAAGGCAAAATCCAAGTTCTACTGGGGGCACGCATGGTCTCTACCCCATCCCTCTTATAAAGAGGCCTATATGTGAAACTCTCTTATCTGCTCACCTCGGACAACACTTCTAACCTGATCCAGCTTATTCAAGTCTGTCTGCCCTGCATGTGCACGGTGGCTATAGGAGCACCTGCCGCAGCTGAGAATCAGAGACCTGGCCTGAGACAGAGCTGACCTTGGCACTGACTGCTACCCCACGGAACCAGAGCTAGCAGCCTTCACTCATGCTTGTTGAGGGACTACCAGAGAAGATGCCTTAACTGGCAGGAAAGAGAGAGCTTTGTGAACACTGGCCTAAAGCTGTGGACCTGAAGGCTAAGGGGCCTTTTAGCACACTTCAGAAGCAGTCCTGACTGATTATAAACTCTCCCCAGCCTGAACTGTAACCTGATTGATACCCTCCCTAATAAATCCCATAATTGTGATAAGGTTTCCGTGAAGTCTGTGTAGTTACTGCAACTGATTTTGGACCCATAAAGCATTACGGTAGGTGTTGGAATTAGTATTCGATGCAGGAGCATGGGGGACCTGTCTGACTTTACTGGAATTAGTTTCACATTGTGGATATTGTTGACGGGGGCAGTTTCCCCTTGTGGAATTAGTACAAGTCTTGACTCACCAATCCCCACACAGCCTTTGCTCTTTTTACAAAGGCCTATTAGTTCCAAAGGTTAAAGGTAGAAAGAAATCATCCAGCAAGGTCCAACTGGAGAGATCCTCCTCCCTCAAGGATTACCCAGGACCATGGTGACCAGAGACACTTCAAAGATTCTCAGTGAGACCTGCAGCTAAGAAGTCATGAAAGGCCCAACGTGTCAAATGGCACAAAGGTCAAGGACGGAAAAGCAGGTTGTGGTCCCAGGGCTGGGAAGAGGGTTCTGGACTATCAACAAGAGTGTGGCTTGAGGGTCACTTACCTCCTCAAGAAGACGAGTAACAGCATCGATGTCATTATATGTTCTAGTCATCTGGCCAACTCTTTCAGCACATAAAACTGCAAGAAATAAAAATGACAAGAAATTACTGATGTTGTAAACTGACAAATGAGCTATCTGAAAAGGTCGCCATGTGTTTGTTTACATTAGACACACAGGACTGTGGGTTTTACTTGACTCACTTCACATTGTTTTCAAGCATCACCAGTTTTTATCTCTGGTTACAGCAAGGATCCCCAAGTTTCTGGGGGAAGGCTACTAACCTCTCTGAAAGCCTGGAACTCGGGCTGTGTATGTGTGTGTGTGTATGTGTTCTGATAAAGAAAAGGGTCTGGCCTTACTCAAACCCCACAAACTGAAATGCTCAGAGCAAGACGGCCACCTAGCTGTCATCTTCCAAATCATCAGAGAAGCCTACAGATGGTGACAGACCCCAGTATCACACAGACCTATTACATGGACAGAATAAGATCCTTCACAATGAGAATAACTATCAAACAGCAGTTTGTAAAAGCTGAGAATACCATAGAAGAATAGTCCCCACTCACATCCTCAATAGCCTAAACTCTAACACTACATAACTAGTTTCTATACCGTGAAAGCTAGGATGATAGATGGCTTTTTACGCAATTCAAAAAGGTAACTATCACTGTTACACGTACATGCAAACATGAAGCAATATTCCATTCAACGTATGATATGATGTGGTCATAGAGGCTGCTGAACAGCTTGTGTCTTTGTTCTCTTTTCATTTGTACATAACAATAAAGAGCAAGTTGCTGTGCACCGTCAAGTCGGAACCGATTCATTGCTGACCCTCCAGCGGCATTTCGGTGGTAGTTAATCGAAAGGGAAGAGACTTCCAACTTTCTTTCTCACATGGAGTAGCTAGTGGATTCAAACCACATACCTTTGTGTTGGCAGTGCAAATCCTTACCATCAAGCCACCAGAGCTCCCTAATGAAGCTTAGAAAGTCTGTGTTGTCTTAAACGGCAAGGAACAGATTTGGAGTTCAACAAACACCAAGAAGGGAGCATGGACTGTTGTACATGGGAGGGATTAATTGAGTGCAAATGTGTATCTAAAGCTGTCATTTTTAGGCTGAATAATAACTTCTTGACAATTCTTGATAACTAAGTGTTTCAGAGGGCTCTCTGGGGGTGTAGTTCATATGGAACTGAGCTGTTAACCCAAAGACCGTGTCTCTCTCTGGTGGTTTGAATCAAACAATGGCTCTATGGGAGAAAGACGGGCATCCATGTGATTTACCATCTCTGAAAGCCACTGGAGGGTCAGCTAAGAGTCGATCTCCACTCTACTGCAGTGAGCTTTCAAGCCTTTTAGAAAATCACCCTGTTAAAGAGTCAAAGACTCAGTTCAGATTTCATAACGACCCACATTTGGTAATAAGAGATTTGGGAATTGAAAAGAATGACAAAGTCAAACTCAGGAGCATTACCAACCACAAACTCCAACTAGAATCCAAAAGGTCTCTAAATATTTTATTAGATGCAAGCAGAGATCAGCTCAGTGCATAAGCTCACGGAGATTGGATTGCTGGGATGATTTCCTAGTTGACAGAGGACACGAGAAATGGGGTTCCAAATCTGAAACCTAGGAAGCTCTGGTGGCCTAATGGCAAGGAGCTGCACTGCAATGCCATAGGTGCATGGTTCGAATCCACCAGATGTTCTGCTGGAGAAGGAAGGGCAATCTCCTCCTGTACCAGTCGGATCCAATCTGACAATACATAAAAAAAAAAAACCAAAACAAAACAAAAAAATTAAACAAAAAACACACCAAAACAAATAAAAAACAGAACCACCAACAAATCTGAAAGCTTAGAGGGATTCCAGTCGGAGCAGAGTGGTGCAGGGCAGCAGGCACGCACACACGCGTGTGGGTATGAGTGGTGGGTGGTCCTCCTTCCAGCCCACCTCTACCCCTCACACTCTGCCGGAACCCCCCTGCTGACACAGAGGCTGCCTTCAACCAGTGTCTAAATGTCATCGCCTCCAGCACCATCCTCCTCACCACCTCTGTCAGAGCTGCCGGGGAGGGGAAGCAGGGAGATTTATTATAAGGGCTGATCTAAACAGGAATCTAATTTGATGTAGATGGAGTCCAGCTCAAATTGGTCTAAAGAGTTCATCAGCCGGAGGTCATCAGAAAGCTTGGAAGTCTCCTTAAAAGGAGGTGCCGATCCATCCTGTTCTGTCATGGTGCAGACAGCACGCTGGGCTCCAGCTAACACGCTTCAAAGAAAGCACCAGCAACCTCCTCTTATAGGCCAGACAAGAGCCCATAGGAGTTATCAACAGACTGTGTGTTGAACTTCTGTTTAGATTCAGATGCCTGCTAAATGTCTACCGTGCTGTCCTTGAAGGGCCGGGTCCTCTGATTTTCTTGAGAGAAAAAGACTGCTGGGCTACATCTTGGCTAGGTTGGCTCTTTTTCATTATAAAATAAAAGAGAATAAAACCTAAGACTATCTTTTTCTAGCACCATATCAAAGATCATACTCACATTTTTGATAGCCAATTTGGGAACTGGGAACAACTGTGGTTACGCATAAGAGCTGACCAGGTGCAGCCAAATCACATGCAATTGTGAGGAAGAATTCTGAGAGTTCACACGTACCTTTTACCCAGCTTCCCCTCATGGCAGCACTATGCAAAATGATGGCAGAATATGGCAACCAGGATCCTGACAATGTGTAAAACAGGCTTGCATTCAGTTCTGTAGGATTTTCTCATCTGTGCTGGCTCCTATATCCACATGGATGTCTCACACTGCCTTTTATGTAAAGCTAGTTTTAAAAGACTTTCACAATTGAACCCAATAAAATGTACCCTTGAACCAAAGGTCCTTCCGAGTCCAGTGCATCCTTTCAGCATGCAAACAGAAGCAGGAGGTGAGTTCTGCCTTTATATCCCACAGATGGGGCATAAAACACAACTAAAGGGGTGCAGAGGGTGGAGGGGCCTCCTGGCCTGCTTGCCTCTGGGATTGCAGTGCAGTTTCTTGTCATTAGGCCACCAGAGCTCCCTTATGCACTAGTATTCTGATGGAGTTTTTAAAAATACATATAATCTATTTTTGAAAGAAAATAAATGCACAATGGGGGGCGGGGGAGGACAGCCACAGAAATATTTAAAGTTGGATGGGAAAACATACTTTCATTTATTTGTTTTTAAGTCTCTGTCATGAGAGCACAGGGAGGGAGCTGTGATGGCCAAGCCCATAGGGAGCTGTGCCACAGGTGGTGCCTCTGTGGCCGTTCAAACCCACTAGCAGTTGGGTGGGAGTTCAAACCCACTAGCAGTTGGGTGGGAGTTCAAACCCACTAGCAGTTGGGTGGGAGTTCAAACCCACTAGCAGCTCTGTGGATCAAAGAGGGACAATCTGCTCCCACACAATTTACAGCCTCTGGAAACCCACTGGAGGGTCAGCTACGAGTCTGCTTCACTCGACGGCAATGAGAGGACGCTTTGGGTTGGTTTTTTGAGTGAGAGCACACTGATAACTGCATCTTCACTGCCACAGATCGCATGGGAGGAGACTGCCCATCTTTCTCCCGCAGAGCATCTGGTGGATTTGAACTGCTTGTCTCTGGCTTGGCAATGCAACTCTGCACTCATTCACTCACTCGGTGCAAGAGTTACAATGGGCCCACAGAGGGTCTTCAGAGGCAATAAACAGTGTGGGAGGAGATTGCCCATCTTTCTCCTGAGGAGCAGCTGGTAGATTTGAACCACATGCCTTTGGCTTCCTTACTCACTCGGCCCTTGTCCACCTGGTTGTATATTTTTAAAAGAAATAGCTAACTGCAATATAGGTCCAAGGACACTGAGCCGTTTTTCAAGAGACAGCAGAGATGTGCTAAACACTTAGATGGCCAGACACTGTTCTAAGCATCTACAGATCATCTCACTCAATCCTCAGAGCAAAACTACAGGTCTGCGCATACACTAGCCCCATTTTGTAAATAGGAACCCGGGGTCTACAGAGGCTAAATAACTGGTCCACTGTCACATACCTCTAGCAAGTGGCACGTATGGAAATCAAAACAGACCCTAAACAGAGGCAGTAGCTACCACTTACAAGACCCCTGCTATTCTGAGGGATTCAAATGGTTCTCTGGAGCCCTGGTGTCACAATGGCAAAAGTTCATCTGCTAACTAAAAGGCTGGTGGTTTGAATCCACCAAGTACTCTGTTGGAGAAAAAGGAGGTGGTCTTCTTTCACACAGATTACAGCCTTGGAACCTCTCTTGGGGCAATTCTATGCTGTGCTATCTAACATTTCAGAAGAACTTGAAGGCAATGGGTTTTAACATGCTTTTTTTTTTACTGGTAGTGTTCTTTTTTTATTTTTTAAAATTAATTTTAATGAAAGTTTTTTTACAGAGACTTAGGGTTTCCATTCATTCATTGTTGCACTTTTCTCCCTGCCCACCACTCCCCCCAATTAGCTCTTCTCTTTGAAAAGTAAAAGAAAAATTCTTTCATTGTTATACAATCCCTCCTCCCAAGTCCTCCCAATCCCTCCACTATGCAGCCTTCACTCTGGACTCCTGTCATGACAATAATACCCAATCATATATCCCTTTTAAACAGTTCTCTCCCCCATCTGTTTCAATGCAGTATGCTTTTAATCCATACAACAGCCAAAGAAGAAGTGTTGCTGTTAATGATTACCCACAGGTTAGAACAGAGGCCTGGAGGCATTAGAGACCTAACAAAGATGTTAGGAGAAGGAGGGTGCACTGCAGGACGTGGCTGTGAGATCCATCGCTGTAAGTGAAAAGGACCCCAGTGTGAGGCAGGCAAAAACTGGCCCTATTAAGAAAGTGCCCTGGACAGGGTGAGAAGCATCTGTGTGGGGGGAAATGCAGCGAGCCCAAGTTCAAGCTCAGCACAGAGGTTTTCCTAGGAGGCTGCCACAGCCTGTGAGTCTTGAGCTTCCCTTTAGAAGGGAGTAAGAGTGACGGAGTTTTCCAAATAAATCTACTTCTACTAAAAAGCAGGGCTCTGGTGGTTGAAAGATAAGAAGCTG